TCGTGTTGCGGTTATCCAAAATAAGACTTGGATATCTAGTTTTGGCAGGAACATTGAACGCAGATTAGAATTCTGGTTCTTTAGACAGTTGATCTTCATGTTTTTTGAGTCACTGATCACGAAGCTAGTCCTTTTTACTACATCGTAATGTCCGTTTAATTTAATGTCCGTTTGTTCAAACGATCTACGTAATGGTTTTCTTTTAGGTGTTACTGGAACTGTTTCTATATCTCGTTTTAAATTCCAGCAGTAGTCTGCCATCATATTTATACCCCATGTTCCTTGATAGCGCTTTTCCATATCTTTCATGTCTTGATGACATCTCTCTCCATGCTCTTCACTGAAATCACCTAATTTTTCTGGAAAGAAATCGAGATGAGAGTCTACAAAGTGCAATTTGATGCTCATATTACATCCTAAATTATTATAGTTTTCAATCATAACACCTACTAGTTTTTTATAATTCGGACTTTTATTGTTCCCTAAAAAATACTTAGAAACTGCATGAAAGCTAGTCCATGCTGCTTTCTCTAAATTTGTCATTTGAGATGTAACATTGGGATCATTGAAGAGTGTTCGGATCTGTGGACCATAAAAAATGCCTGCCTTTAGCTTGGCTTCACTGAGTTTGGGCATTTTTTTCACTATATATCTAAAGCAATCTCCATCTTTATCTAGAGCTCTGACAAATTGCTTCATGAAACCAAGTTTGAGATGCAGTGGAGGAATTAAAATTTTTAATGTATCTACAAGAGGCGGCTGAATGACGTTGGACGATCCAGGCTGCAGAGAATTTCTCGTTGGCCATTCCTTTTTGATGTAGTGATTTTGACGATCCCTGCTGTCAAAAAGGCACAAGAAGCAAGGGTATTTAATATTCCCGCTCTGCATCCCAAGAAGAATTCCAATGATTTTGAGGTCACCACAGATTCTCCATTGATGTTCTTTGTAATTGATTTTTTCTAAAACAATTTTCATATTTTGGTAAGATTCTTTGAGAAGTGAAGAGTGAGCTATGGGTATTGGAGCCAGTACATTCGTATTGTGGAGCAATATCACTTTCAAACTGCGAATAGAAGAATCTATAAACAGTCTTCACTCATTCGGCTTGTAGACATTAACTTTGAAACTATTTATAAGTCCGTTGATATCATTGCAATACACCAATCCCACTGTATCATCTTTAGTAAAGAAACGTCGAAACTCTTGGTCTCTGTTCCTATAAATTGAAATCTTTACACCTTCTTCCAAAAGATTCTTTTTATCAGCCTTGAAGCTAAAAGTTCATGAGCTTCCTTTGAAAGTCCTAACTCTCTTCCTAAGTTACTCAATTCATTCTGCGTAAATTTTGCAGGCTCCTTATTCCTTTCATCCTGGTTTTCGTCACTTTCACTTCCTTTGTCTGTCTCTATCTCGCTGTCACTTTCCTCTGTTTGTACTTCTTCGGTACCTATTTCTTCATTGGCCAGGACGTCTACAACAGGATTCTTGGCATTACCACTATTTTTTGAAATCAAAACAGCTGGAATTACTTTATCGGTAAAAATATATTTGATTTTTGATTTATTTTTCCTATTGTATCCGTGAGTAATGGTATTGCAGAAGAAACAGTCTTGTTTTGCTTCTGGCATATTCCATGTCACTGATACAGAGTATTCCAACTTTGAAAGGTCCTTTTTCATATAACATGTCAGCAACATTTTATGACAGCGCAAACAAACGACATGTGGAACCCAATTCTCATCTTGAATCAATATTTCTGATGAAAAACAATAACTGTATGCAGTACGCACAGCACGAGTGATATTTTTCCAGCTATATGGTGGTGCGTATGCAGCACAAACGTAACAAAAATAATTTGGTTTTTCCGGGTTATCATACACATGTCTAGAGGTTCTGGCTTTATACTTTGGTAAGGCCAAGTTAGCCACCTTAACAAAGCTACGGTCGCATGATGACGACGCCTGCGGGCCCGCTTTCTCACCCTGACCAGCCGCCGATACTGGGGTTCCGACCCCCTACATCGTAAGTTTTTCCGGTGTGTTTGTCATGACAACATGAGCATCATGACCCAGGAACTTTGCCGGATAGCGAGACAACTCCGTCGCTCGCCGTCACCACAGGGAGGTGTCCTGGATGCAAACACATGGAAAAAACCGGTGCCAACAGATTCCAAAAATAGATATCTAAGTCTTATTTTGGATAACCGCAACGCAACCTACAGAAGTCGGTTTAAAAAAAAAGTTACTACGTATTCGGACGTAAAATTTTCCGCTCTTTCAGAATCTGGAGTCAAAAATATTGTATCATCCGATTTGAATGATTTGACCTCCGTTTGACCTTGATTCTGACATGTTGAGGTTCAAAAAAGATTGGATTTGGAATCAGGAATCCCAAAAATATATTATGAATATTTTTTAAATTTTTTAACGGGTCGATTCGCAATTTGACCTTCAAATGCCCTTAACCCTGACGTGATGGAGTCAAACGGACCCCAGATTCGGATTCAGCGACCTCAAAAACATAAAGAACATACAGTCAGATATCGGGGAAAATACTTTCATTTTTTTTTGTGGAGCTGTGTTATCCATTAATTGATGGTTCGGTAACATCGACAGTAAGCATTTCCCTCGTGAGCCTATGCATTTCATGTTCTACTATTGGGGAAACTAGGACCTAACTTTGTTTTGAAGGGTGGGTATCATCCATCTTAATCTCGTGTGCTATTCTTAGCATGCTCTTAAGCAATTTCTCGATACACGCTAAGTCAGTTGGTAAGTCCAACTCTCAGCTTTGCCTCTGCTGATTTGGACCATGAACTGTGGAATTATAGGCATGCTGCTAGCTCGGCTAATCCAACGAGATTGGAGTGATGGGCAGGATGACGTGACTTCGATTTTGATCTCCGAGCCATCAAGCAATCGTCAAGACCTGGTTTTGCACACGTGTATAGGGCACCCGAACTTGGCCGTGATCAGTACATCTAGATTACCCATCGTCATGCTAGATGCTCCCTAACAATACAATACTCTGATTCAGAAGTGTACTTTTTGGACAGGTAACCATTACCTGGTTTCGTCTTCGGGATCATAACCCCGATTATCTTTCTCGGGTGGGCTAGACTCTTTGGTAGCCCATATTTCCGAGCGTCCAAAGCCTTCTTCGACGTGCTCTGCTTCGATGATTTCCCTAGCATCAGAGATTTATTGATTGAGTCTGGGTGCTTTCGAGACGTCCTATGAAACTTCCTGCATTCCGCTAATTTCGCTTTGAGAAACTGATTCAGCATATGTTGCCTTTTCAGATTCCTTAGTGTGTAGAATATAGATCATATCTTGGACTCTACTTGTCACGGCACTCAAGAAACAGACCTAAATAAAAAATTGATGTTACCTCGAAATTCTTATTGATTATTGTTTTTGGGTGTTTTTAAGACTGTTACCAGATATTTTAAAAATCTATTCACGTGGAGGATTTTTCCAAAATTGTGTTTAAATATCCTATTTCATAAATATAGTGTATTCAATAAATTTAATAATACAAATGCAATGACACTAGAAATATAAATTATATAATTTTCAACATAACGATAATATTTCATAATTTTGTATGAATAAACATTTGACAATAATTTTTATGTATTTATATCTATATGTCAATTTATATATGCATGCTATAATAACTGCGTACAGTTCGAAGTAATTTAGTCCAATAAGCTTTGTTAACATTCGAAATTTTATGATTTTTCTACTTCTTATTAAAATTATGATTGACGGGCTCTGTAAGTTATTCTGTAATAAATCTTAGTCCCAATTAATGTTTAGAACAAACTGGATAATGTGACAATGGATAATGTACTATGTGAGCCTAATCAATCAGTAACGACGCCTTTCATCCAGAGTGGGCCTGAATATTTTAATTAATTAATTATTGAGCTTAAAGTCTTAAGCCCGTTGCATACTTGTTTGAAAATTTTCCATTTATAAGTGAGCACGCAGTTGTACAAGGAAAATTATGCTGAGCGCAGACTTGTCACTCCTGCTCTAGCTGTTTTTGACCGAGACGTAATTATTATTTTAAATCCTTACTCTTGACCTTGCAAGAGTTGCCCTGATACAAAGAAAAATTAATTTTACTGTCAAGGCCAACTCAAAAAACTTGCTTTCATAAGAAATTGCATGTCTGTTTACCATTGCGCGTGCTCGTAGAACTTCGACCTAGTGCGTGTTCTATCTCTTTCTCTCTCTCTCTCACAACGTCGCGGATTACGTTTACCTGAAACATAAAGGCTTGTTCGCAGCAACCACTAATTGGGCGCCACTGTAACTGTATTAGTGTTAGATTATTGAAAAGAGCTGTTAAATCAGACGTCTTTCAATTCCGATAGCTAATTCCCGTTTAATTGACTGCTGTTTTCTTCCCCATCGTAAATATTCACTATTAGTTTAATGTTATTTTTGTATTTTGTACTTTTATATCTAATTAAATTTATCATTACCTTATTAATCTGTTAATTTTATACTTCTAGTGAAATTGTTACTATTTTTTTGGATTTACATCGTATTTTTATATTTTTTTATATTATGTATTATCATTTATATTCAAAATGGATTATATTCCGTATCATAAATAAAGATAAATTTAAAAAAATTGTTAATAATTAAGATTAAATAGAAAGATTAAAATATGTACCTATTTCTATAAATGTGTTATAGAACGAGCCTTCCAGGAGCTACCGTAAACTATTAGAGCGCTATGGAACTAGATTTTCATGATTATTTGATATTCCATTATATGATATTATGATTATTGATACCACTTGATTTAAATTTAAGAAACTGATATCTACTGCATATATTTCTAAATTCTATTACATTTATGATGAATAACAACTCTTTAAATAAATACATAATAATTCATTTGCATAACTTTTTTACAACTACATATATCGAATTTGAAGAAAGATTATATATTTATATATATTATATATTTATATTTAGATACATTGAAATTGGCCTCACTACATGAGTATTATCAGAGACTTGTATATTTAACACCACCAGTTCCAGCTGGAGCAGATATGGCAATCACACTGAAATATTTTTCTCAGTCATTACTATGTAAGTTTAATAATCAATTATAAATTTTTTGATAAATAAATTTATAAATAAAGAAATTAATTATAGTATGCAACGGTAGTCGATTCGATTAATCGATCTGTTCGCGATTCGGTACACTCGTGATGCTAGAGTTTAAAAGTTTTCAGTTAAGCCTCAGCTGTTACTTAGTGTTGTGTAGTACCGCCAATTATTTTGCACAGTGTTTCGCCATTTTTTACAAAGTTTTCTTGGATTGTTTGATGCGTGCGAGTGTAGCGAGGAAACATCACAGCAGCAATATTTAAAGCAGCAGTAACTAAAGCAGCAAATATTTACGAGCGAGGCAGCGCAGCTGATTCTGATCCGAGGAGCACCTTTAATTAACTTGAACAATTACGGCTGATCACTGTAATTGCACCGCAGTGTAGGTGCACCTCCTTTATATTGCGCGACAACATACTAGCAAGAGTATTTTGTTTATCGCGATCGTTATTTTTTTGTATTCGCGCCGAGCGTTAGATTTCACGGCAAAGTTTGAATTCTCTCTCTCTCTCCCCGTATTATTATTAATAATTGTAAATTCTATTAGACCCATTAAAGACTGTAATTTTCTAGAATTAAACATTAATTTAATTCGCCGCATTACGTCATTTCGTTTCCTAATAATTTAACAGATCTATCACGGATTAAATATTAAACCGATTTCATCTAGAAGATTAGTCGGATTAAGCATTAGGTTATTTAAGATAGATCGAGTGTCACAAGTCAGGTTACTTAAGGTAAGTTCAACTCTGTTAGAAAGAAGACACTGAAACGAAAGTATCAAACGTAAAGGCGAATACACGTATACCCATACGTGTTTAACGGAGCGGCGGTTAGCTTTGCATCGTGGGAGTTTGTGCTTCAATAAATTCCCTTTGTACTAGTTAATCCACCCCGTAACAAGTATTAATCTTTTTATTTCAAAATAAAAAAAATTTATATATAAACAAAAAATATAACGAAAAACCATAGAGAACTCATTGTATAATTTTATTATAAAATAGTCATATTCAGAACATTACGACTTCAACTATCGTATATTAGTACAGTACTGCTCAATGACATTTGCCACCCTGTTGACTAAAAACATAATGCTTTAAAGTTTTATATCTCGACTTACAAGGAAAGGTACCCAACCCGAAGTCACCGATTTTGATGATTTTGATACATATTGTAGAACATAAAAAAATAAGAGACACGTATTTTTTTTATCGGCTAATTTTTACTTTTAAGGGGTAAAAACCTCCCCTAAAGTTAACCCCCAAAAAACGCTTTTTTTAATATCTCGGCTTAAAATTAATATTTTTCAGTGAAACAAATTGGAGGTTATTTCTTACAAAATGAGCAAGTATTTTATGGTGATTTGATGAATAAGGGTAGCCTACCTAATAGATATCCCTTATTTTTTAGGGGTTGAAAACATATATTTTTTGGCATAATTTTATAATAAAAAAATTTAAACCGACTAAAAAAAATTGTAAAAAATGTTTAAACATCCATACTAATAAAATTTAATTAACGTCTTTCGGTGTTCTAAGAAATATTACTCCTAAGGGGGGTAAACCAATCTTAACACAAAATAGCTATAAGTATACTTCAATCCATAATATTTTATAGAAGGTTTGTATATAGGGGTTTTCGAGATCGCTCTTTACAAATCTGATATCAGATTTTGAAAATTTAAAATGGCAGAACCAATGTGGTGGACGAAAATGTCGAAAAGAAATTTTAACTTTCATAAAAACTTGTTTACAAATGTGTGATCTTTGTAGCCTGTACATGTGAACTAAAGAGCCTTAAACCCTAAACCTCCTTGCAAAAAATAGGCTAAATGGATCTGCTTTTTAACCAAACGACTCCAAACCCCCAACCTTCAGACAGGCCGAAGGCCTGTACTTTACCGTAGACACGAGTATAGACATATTACCGATATTTTATTCAATAATTTTGAATGTAACAAATAACGTCTCATTTTATGTTTCAATCAAAGATTATTTATTTTTCTAATTTTATAAATTAGCATAATTTCAAAAGTAATTTCATAAATTATAAAGTATTTCATAAATTTCATAATTATATAATTTTATAAATTCAAAAAGTCCACACTTTTTTGCAAATGAAAAAACATAGCTAATAAAATTAGTTCATCAACCTCTTTTGCGTTTTGTCATAAATTATACATATATATTTTAAATGATCATCATAAATAATTATACATATGAATTTATCAAAAAATTTAAATTCAATAATAAATATTATTCTCATTATTATTATTATTTTTCATTATCATTGCTATTATCAGTATTACTTTTATTATTGCTATTGCAATTATGCTTTTTCTTATTATTATTTTTTTTTTTACAAGGAGTTGCGGAATCCTTTTTGGGGATTCCTCTTAGTCTTTCTGACAGAAGGATTATGTGGGACTCCCCGAAAAGAAAAAAATAAGCCTACCCACTAAATCACCATCTCCTTGGTGTCCTTCCCCCAGCCAGGGACTATATTGATATTACTTCTGACTGGAGGTTCTGTCTGTGTTCGTCCGTCCGTATCGTTCTTCCGCATCTCGTTACGTCACGTCACTTCGTCTGCTCAGTCATCTGTCAGGCAGCCGTCCGCGTTCTTACGTCTCAGTATAGTTTCTGTATAGGTAGCGACCAAGCGCCACCATTCGAGTTCACGCAGCATCAGAGCTACGATTTTATCGGGGGTGATGCTGCCGACCGTTTCTTCCAGTTCCTGTCTGAGTCTTGTCCAGCAGTCACAAGCGAAAAACGTGTGTTCCGCGTCGTCTCGTTCCTGTTCACAGTACTTACAGTCGGGTGTTCGTAGTCTGTTCATATTGCAAAGGTACCGTCGGAAGTATCCGTGGCCCGTCAAGAGCTGGGTGACGTCGAAATTTACATCACCAAATTTCCTTCCGAGACACAGCCTCAAGTCCCGTATAATTCGTCTCGTTCAGTTAACACCTCGTTCCTCTGTCCATCGGCCCTGCCAACTGTCAATTGTCCTGTCGCGCTCAGCGATTACCGCGTTCTTTCGTCTCATGTCCACGCTGCTCCCGTAGATCCTTTTGCGTTCAAAGGCCAGAAGATCCACGGGTATTACGCCAGCCACCATCAAAACAGCCTGCGCAGAGAATGTTCGGTAAGAGCAAGCGATTCGCAGTGCCCCTTTCTTTGTACCATCATCATCGACTTACAGTATTTTTTTGTCTTCAGAGAGTCTGCCCATATTTCCGCGCCGTATAGAAAGATCGAGTGAGCTGTCGCCATTAACAGTCGTCGTTTTCCCGATCTCGGTCCCGTCGTATTTGCCATCAGGCGACTCAAGGATGCTATCCTCTCTGCCGCTTTCCGCGTTGTTTTCTGTATATGAGGCCAGAAGGTCATCTTCGTATCCAGGGTTACCCCGAGCTACTTCACTTCCCTCTTGGTCTCCATCTCGCATGTTCCAACCCTCATGTCAGTATCGTCTGTATACGTCTTCTCGTGAGAAACATCAGTTCCGTTTTTTCCGTTGCGAGTTGTAGTCCGTGCTCTATCATCCATCGTCCGACTCGTCTTATGGTTTGGTTCAATGCCAGCTCCGCCAGCTCGGGGGATCTCTCCGTAATTGCCGCCACCACGTCAACAACGTAGGCGACGAGGGTAACTCCGAGCGGCATCCCAAGCCCAAACAAGCTATCGTATAAACTATTCCAGAAGTCAGGTCCCAGTATCGACTCCTGGGCCACCTCAGCGGTGATCTGTCTCGTTACTTGTCCTTCGACCGTCTCGTACGTTATCCGTCTGTTTTTTAGGTAATCCTCCACAACCCAAAGCAGGTATGACGGGATCCCGAAGTTGCTTTTCAGCGCCTCCAAGATATCCTTCCACCTGGCCGAGTTAAAAGCATTCCTAATGTCGAGCGTCGCCAGCAACACTATAGGTCGCGCTGCGTGGCAGTGTCTGTCTAGTTCCAGGAAAGAGTCGACCACCTTTTGAATCGCTCCAATCGTCGATCGACCCCTCCTAAAACCGAACTACAAATCTGATAAACCCCCTCCGGTCTGTATCGCATCCATCAGTCTCGGTCTCAGTAATTGTTCAAAGAGTTTACCAGTTGTGTCAAGTAAACTCAACGGTCGGTAAGCCGAAGGCGTGCCAGGATCGCTCCTACCTTTTGGTATAAGAACGAGCCTTGCCACTTTCCACCGATCGCTGAACGTTCCTGTCGTCAAACACGTGTTGTACAGGTCGAAAAGTATCTCCGGCCGTAGACGAGCCACAAGCCGGAGGATCTCGGATGGTACTCCGTCCGGTCCCGGTGCCTTACCCGTCTTCATCTCATTCGTTGCTCTGATGAGCTCCTCAGCGGCAAAGGCGGAGGGCATTTGTGCGTCCACGTCATCCATCACGTTTGTCCTAATCGGATGCATCGGAAACAATCCGTCAACAATCCATTCTGCTGTTTCGGCATCTTTAAGTTCCGGTGAAACTCGGGCCTCTAGTTTCCCGGTCAGGATCTTGTAGCCAGTTTCCCAGGGTTTTCCACCAACTGTGACCCAGACTTAGTCGTCCCCGACACCGCGATTGGAGACTCTAGATTGGGTGCCACCCCATAACCAAATAGCAGTTGTCTCTGTCTCGTTTGTAATGTATATCTGGGTCGTCCTTCTCCTGTATGGTTCACTCAGAATCAGGATGTCCACGTCATATTCGTCGGCTATCTGAGGTAGGAGCATGTCTGCAGTCCTACTTTGTTTCAGGTTTCCCTGCATTATTCGGTCCGTCCCCTGGCCCGTCCCCTGCACTCCTGCAGCGCGGCCTGGAACACGGTGCACCTGCCACCTCCGGTGAGGTGGGCGACGTCCCTGTGCCCGGCCTCGGAGCGCAGTGAGCAGACCGGCTTGTTTTGGCATTCCGTCGCGTAGTGTCCGGATATGCCACACTTGCGGCAGCATTTCGTCCTGTCCTTACCTGTGCATTCAGCTTTCA